CCCCAAAACCCCAAAACCCCAAAACCCCGTAAAATGAAAAATTATTAGGGGATTAATTTAAATTTAATTAGTAAGAATTCTAATCAATTTTCATTGAGAGACGTCTAAGTAGCCTTATTAGCCTATAAATTCAATCAAATCTTAGTATTGATCATTAGTATGATATGCAGTATTAGTTATATCATGCTTTTAAACTATAAGTAGTTAGAAAATCTAAATATTACTTAATAGATCATTATTCTGTAATTTTAAATGATAGGGCAAGGAGTCATTTATTTTATATATGTCTCCCTCTACTCTTTAAATTCTCACATTGAGACCTTTGTATCTCAATTCATCACACAAATCATCAACACTATTAGAAAGTTCAAATTTTTAATTAGATTTACGCCATTTAAAGTTTGGATTATTAGTTCTTCTCTGATCCCTCAGTAACTAAGCTCTTATAATTGCTATAAGTGACTTCATTTCTATGGAAAGGCTTGATCGGTGCATTCGAGGTTAAGAAATTACTGCTCACAAAAGAATTATCCATTTTAGGAATGATTCCGAGATTAACTGAATGATGATTAACACTTGGATTATTCTCCTTGTTTTAAGGTTTTTTGTAGAGACTTAGAGGTTATTATTAAGGTGGATTATTTATAGTTGAAAAGGTGCTCAAATTTAACTTCTTGGGCTCAATCTCATTATTATTATATTTTTTGTCAATTACTAGAGAATTGTTTTAGAAAAATCTAGAATTATTACTTGGTTTTCTCAAGGAACCTAAGTTAGTAAGAGCTCTGCCAGTTTTCGGTTAGGAATGCTATCTTTCTTTGACACAATTTTGATTAGGCTTAACAGCATTTAACCTTGGATTAAATGGCTTCTTTATATTTGTTAAAGCTACATTTTACTTTGCGTTTTTATCGTAAATCTTCCCTGAAGTACTCACAAAATTAATTGCTTATGAAAGATTATTCAGTTAATTTAGATCAGTTAAGTTAATGAGTTAAGCTATAGCCAGTCTATTTTCACAATCTAAAATTTTATTAACTCTCACTAACTCTCTACAGTATTACTCTAGCTTAGAGCATCTATCAAGGAGACCTTAAACCTACTTTTAATCATAGGCTACTTTATTTTGTCTATAAAAATTATTCTTAATTCCTTCATCCTTTTAGATCTCACTTATATTATATTGCTTTTCTTAAGTAGTATATCGCTCTCTAGAGTTAGTTTGATAATTTCTAAATCTTTTTTCGAAAATATGACTCTCATTCACAATTGGTTAGGGATAATCTTGAATTCTACTTTCTCTCCTACTTCTAACTCTGGTTGCGAATTCTAAAGTATCATCTGGATAGGTTTAATCAATATCTTAACTTATAGTGTTCATCTATTAAGCTCCTTTCTCCCCCGATAAACTTCTATTTCTAAGAGCTATATAATCTTAATGACTTGTTTTAATTGTGTGTGTCCTTCCACTATTATCACTATGGCGCTCACTACTGATAAAAAGTGATTATAGTCTCTCTGGTCTTGGATTCTAGTTCTTAGGCATGTTATAATTGCTAATCTAATCATGATTATTTTCGATTAGATTGCTATTACTTGAAAGATTTCTTTATTATTGTTGGCTCTGATTTAATAGACGTTATAGATCGTCAATCTGTTTATTTTTGCTTTCGATGTCTAATGTGCACTACTCTAGCCGAGTTTCAAAAGCTTTTATTTATGAAACTGCAATGCGATACTCCTCTAGCTGTTTTTGATTATCCATATTTAACTAGTTAAGTTTCATTTCGTAATTCAATCTTTCTCTCATTATAATTTCATCATCAGTCCTAGATTGAGTACTTTTCTAGCTTTCAAGCTCTCTCACTTTTTCCAATAGAATAAGATTTTCAGTTTTAAAATTATCTATCTCATCAAGATTATCTCCATTAGCCTATTCTTTTATCTTTATTATATCATTTTTCATACCATCTAACTCTTTAATTAGACTTTTTGCTTTCTCAAGCTGGCTTTCAGTCTTGTAAAGCCTTTTTTCTGTCAATTTTAATTTTTTCTATAGCTGTTGGTTCTCCATTATAATCTAATCAAAATATTCTTAGTCATCCATATTTATTTGATCATTATCTTGATCATCTTATTGTTCTAAGTAGGGATCGTTATTCTAGTCAAAATCTTGCTCTTGCTGTAGGTCTTGTTAGCTATCTCCTTCTCTTTAGTAAGGTAGGATTTAGTTCCTGTCCTGCTTAGTTTTAATTGTTTGTTGTTGAAATGAAAGGTCTTCATCATAACTTTAGTCTCTATCATTGTCCTGATTAAAATTGAATGGCATATCTGGAGATACAGTGTCATCTCTTAAGATCATACTTTAACTCATATCATTGAGTATACTATTTTCATTTCTAAAATTATTGAATGGCTAAACATGCGAGAGATCAATAACCTTCCCACTAACAATTGAGTTTGAGTGAATTCTAGATTATTCTGTTTAATTGTTGTCATATCTTCTAAACGAATCTAGAGCTTACTATTCAGTGTAATTAAAATGAATATTTTAGCTGTTGTTTTATATAGTTTCATTGCTATTATTCGTTGGGAAACTGTTACTGTTATAGCCACTAGAATTATTAGTATGAATGGGAGAATTTTCATTTCCCATAGGATTAAAATGAGTTTGTTAAGAGATTCTTGCTTGAAATACATTCGAAGCATCACTTTGAATGCTTGAATTCTAAAGGTTTGTACTCTGAATGAAATTTTGGTTATTGTAAATAGAGTTTTAGCTTGGGCCAAGATTTGGATTTGAATATTGTCTCTAGCGATTCTCCATTATTTAAAAAATCAGTTATTACAAATGAATTGAATTTGTAAACAAATTTAACGTATTTATATTATGTTAGCTTGAAGGGGTTTTGGGGTTTTGGGGTTTTGGGG